CCCACCCCCACCCCCCCATAGCTGCCCGGTCAGCCTGGGTACCTCCTGCACCCCCAAGCAGCCCCAGTCAGAGCATTTAACTCATCCCCCATGGCTGGGGCTCAGCAGGGAGAGTTTCAGGGAAGGTCAGAGGGGGTTTACCCACCACGGGGCTCCCTGTGCCCGGCTGCTCGTGCTGCCCCACACCCCCCGGGCTCAGCAGCATCTCCACTGGCATCCAGGAGGCTCCAACCATCCCTGCTCCTTCCTCTCCCCCCAGGAGACCCAGGTGGGGCAGCTGGTGGAAGCTGGTTTCAAGAAGGAGAACATCAGCACGAAGGTGATGGACCTGGTGCCCCCCCCGGAATGCCGGTACTACTCCTTCCACAAGATGATCACACCCACCATCGTGAAGCACTGAGGGGGCGGCAGAGCCCCCCGGGGCTGCCCCGGGAAGGGGCTGCTAACGAGGAGCGAGTGACAATGTGCTCTGCCAGGAGGAGGAGGAGGGCTCTGGTCTCCTCTGATGCTAATAAAAGAAGGTTGAAGCTGCCTTACAGGGGCTGGGAGGTGGCTGGAGGCTCCTGCACAAAAGGACTCAATCCCTGTCCCACCGCGGGTGTCACAAGCCCCGATGCCCTGGAGGGGTTTGCACAGGGAAGTGCCACCCTGTGTCTGTCCCAGAGGCCGTTTCCCATTCACCCTCGTCTCCAAATTCCTTCACTGAGCTGCAGTTCCAGAGCTTTTAGCCTGAGGGCTTCGAGGATGTTTCCTCTGCAACGGGATCATTTTGAGACCCCCCCGGGAGCAGCGACCCCCGCGGTGCTGACCCTGCCCCCCCTCCTGCAGCCCGGGAGCACACACCTCACACCTCCCTACCCAGAAGGGATAACATTCATTTTAAAAAGATAATTAAATGCACAGATGCTGCTTCAGAGCCATTTCTTTGTCTTCCCAAAGTGCCTGTGGAATTCTGCCCTGGCTGCTCCTGTCCCAGGGAATACACCTGGGATGCACCCAAGGGCTGCTTCACTCCTGCTGTGCCTGTTTCTGATGGCCACATCCTGATTTCAAGCACTAATATTTTACTTAGGTTACAGAAATAACCTCTGGCTGCTGCACACACTGACATAAAGGGCTGGTTAGATCCTTTGTAGGAATTCTCACCAAAAACTCAGGTGGTGAGGAAGGAAGAGCTGAGCTTGGGGAAGCTTTGGGGTTCACCTGAGTGGGCAAAACTTCCCAGCAGCTTTGGCCAAAGAGCCAGTCCCAGTTTTCTGGCAAAGGTGACTTCAGTCTCCTTCCCTCACAGGCTCCTCAAACCAGGAAACCACCACTGAATGTCATCAAATTCTGGTCCTGCTTTTTCATTCTGTTTTTTAAACGAGTTAAGAACAGTTTAGATAGGAAGGATGTATTGATGACAGACAAGCACCTTCACCAGGTAGTTTTATTGGAAGGCTTGTGAGAACGTGGATTTATTGTGCGTACGAGTGGTGGGCAGGGAGGGGGGCATAAATAAGAAGCTATTTCCTGTACCAGATCTGGATCTTCTTCTCCCGTTTGATCTTCTTCTGAAGCTGCAGGATCCCATACAGCAAAGCTTCAGCTGTGGGTGGGCAGCCTGGGAGAGGGAGAAGTGAAACCAGCTGCACTGAGCTGCACCCAGCAGAACCGACCAGCCCCGGGCTCTATCCCACAGCAGGCTGGGATTCCCCTCTGGATCTGTGTGTGTCCCAGGCTACTGAGCTCATCAAAGCCAGAGGGTCTGACTAGAGTCATTTATTTAAAAGCTCTTCACAACCTGTAGAAACGCTTTGCCTTTAAGGCAGGTGGGATCTCCCAGGCCAGTGTTGGGGGGGCTGGGGGGCAGCCCATGCTCACACACCAGAACTGCCCCATCGCCCCCGCAGCCCCTCCCGAGGCATCAGCAGCTCCGGCCACACAGTCTGAGATTGGAAGAGCTTTAACTCCCCCCCAACCCCCCCTCAAACACACAGTTAAGGTCACTGGGGCCCAGCTCGTTGTTCCCACCTGGCACGTAGATGTCAACGGGCACGATGCGGTCGCAGCCCCTCACCACAGAGTAGGAATAGTGGTAGTATCCCCCACCGTTGGCACAGCTGCAAGAGAGGGGTGGGCTCAGCACCTCTCAAAGGCAGCTCAGCACCCCCCAGCACAGAGCCACCCCTAGGTGCCACAGCCAGGGATCACAGAGCCTCTCCACAGGCCCTGGCAGGAGGGCAGAGGCCACTCTGGCCCTAAATTAAAGCATTTTCATTGCTGGTACAAGGCAGATGCTCAGAGGGTCCTTCCCCTGGTCACTGGCAGCTGCAAAACCCTCAGAACCTCTCCCTAAGGGGGGCACACTGCTCCCCACTGCACCTCGGCAGAGACCACCCTCCTTACCCCCATCAAAGGGTGTCTTTGTGTTTCACTTGTACCAAGGCCTCTTTATGCAGTTTAAGAGGCTGGAAACACAAGGAGCCACAGCTTCTCCTCCCTGCACCTCCCCACTCAAGCAGACACTGGATTTCTCCCACGCAGGAGATAAGGGTCTCTCAGGACTCACCTCCCCATGGAAACCACGTAGCGAGGCTCCGGCATCTGGTCGTAGACCTGCAGGACAGGGACGTGTCAGGGCACTTCCCACCTGCACCCAGGGGTGCTCGGGGCACCCAGCCCAGCCTGTACCTTCCGAAGAGCTGGAGCCATCTTGTTTGTCAGGGTGCCAGCCACAATCATCACGTCAGCCTGCCGGGGGCTGGCCCGGAACACCACCCCGAACCGGTCCATGTCGTAGCGAGGAGCTGCCATGTGCATCATCTCCACAGCACAGCAGGCCAGGCCGAACGTCATGGGCCACAGGGAGCTCTGCAGCAGGGGAGGGAGGGGAGAGGGAGCTGAGAGCCCGGGGGGGCTCACAGAGCAGGAGCTGACCAGAAAGGGCAGCAGAACCAGGGGAGCACCCAGGCTGTTTGGTCAGAGCTCTGCCCTCGGCTGGAGCGTCTCACGGAATTGTCAGGATGGAAGGGACCCCTGGAGATCCTCCAGCCCAACGCCCCACTAAGGCAGGAGCAGCCAGGGCTGCATCCAGGGGGGTTTTGAATGTCTCCAGAGACTCCACAGCCTCCCTGGGCAGCCTGTCCCAGGGCTCTGTCACCCTCACCATGAAGAAGTTTTCCCTCTTACTCCAGTGGCACTTCCCACGTTCCAGCCTGTGCCCATTGCCCCTCGCCCTGTCCCTGGGCACTGCTGAGCAGAGTCTGGCTCCATCCTCCTGCACCCACCCTGAGATACTTGTAGGCACTGATCAGGTCTCCCCTCAGCCTTCTCTTCTCCAGGCTGAACAGCCCCAGCTCCCTAAGTCTTTCTTCATAAGGAAGATACTTCAATCCCTCAATCACCTTCCCTGCCCTCCGTGGGGCTCTCTCCAGCAGTTCCCTGTCTCTCTTGGACTCTCCCTCCCAGGCTGACACACCACCCAGTGTCAGCCTCTGGGCAGGGAACTCAGCGACCCCCCCTGAGGAGAATTTTGAACCTATTTCCATCCTGAGGAGGGGGTGGCCCTGACCCCGTCTGTCCCCAGCCCCAGGGGCTCACCCTGCGTGCCCAGTTGACCAGGTCATCCAGCTTGGTGACAATGTACTCGCCACGGCTGGTGGGCACGTAGGACTTTTTCGGGACAACAGCCGAGCTCTTCTGGGCCTGCAGAGAGCTGAAGGCAAAGGGTCAGGCTGCACTTGCTCAGCCCAGCTGCAGAAAACAACCAGTGGCCTCAGGGAACCGCGACCCCCCCAGGGAACCAGCGCAGCTCCCAGCCCCGGGTGCTGCCACCGGGGGGTCTCCCTGCCCTGCAGGGGGGTCTCCCCAGGCCCCGGCACAGAGGGCAGGTCTGTGCTCGCAGCAGCTCCCAGCGTGCGGGGGGGGAAGTGGGGAAGAGATTGCCAGGCAGAGCAGCAGGTCCCTGCGCGGGGGGGCAGCGGTGTCACCTGTCAGCGCGGTCACACG